TAAAAGTTGATCCTAAAATATTAAACAATCTATTTTCTCTAGGCGGTTTAAGATTTAATTCTGCTATATTAATTTTTCTAAATTTTTCCCAATCTAAATTTCCTTTTAAAACATATCCTTCTATTCCCTCGTATACTTCAGTTTCTAAAATCTCAGAATTTTCAATTTCCATGATCTCTAGTACTCTAATTCTTCAGAATTTTAATATAGTGCTCTGATACCATTTTGTTGGGGGTTTTCAATAAAACAAAAATACGATTTTAATAGTAAACAAAATCTTCAAATTCTTGGGTTTAATAGGTGGAAAGAGTTAATGGTGAAGAAAAGTTAAATTTTAATTCCATAGGAAAAGCAATTTGTTGAATTTTAGATTAAAATCAAAGTTTTAAGGACTAAAATAAAATCTATTTTATAATAGGATGACTTGTTTTTAATTTTTGATTTTGGGGGTATTTTAGGTAGTTTATGTTGGTTGAATAATCAAAGGGTATTTTGGAAAGGATAGGCTTTAATTTTGGGTTTTTTCAATAATTTCCCAAACAATGGGTTGTGCAATGAGAACGAATAGATACAACTTCCCTCGTTCCTATTTTCTCATTTAATTTACTGTTGAGAATGCTAAGATTTTACAATTATCGATGTTCTCCTATTGTAATTTTCTCAATAACTCTGTAGAGATAATCATCACTAGCAAACAAGGAAATAACCTGCAATTTCATTACTCATCCAAAGTAAAAGGTAAGACAAAGAGGAAAAGAATCCGATAATGGCAGATGTCATAGCCTGTTCCGTTGTTGGGAAGCTTGCAGAGTACACAGTCTATCCCGTTTTGCGCCAAGTCAAGTACTTGTTCTTCTACAACTGTAACATTCAGAATTTGAGGAAAAATGTTCAAGAACTTGAAAATAAGAGCAATGACGTGAAACCACGGGTTGATGCTGCCGAAAGAACAACTGAAATCATCGGGGAAGAAGTTTTGGCATGGTTACGAAAGGTCGACGACTTAAAGGAACGAGCCGATGGAGTTTTGAACGGAGTAGCAAGTTCTGAAATGGGGTGCCTATTCAATAGATGCCCAAATTTGAAGTCTCGTTACATATTAAGCAGGAGAGCCACAAAATTGACTATTGAGGCTGATAATCTCAAAGTGGAAGGTACATTTGAGAGGGTGAGCTATCCTCGACCGCCGATGCAAGTGTTGAACCTAACTTCCCATAAGGTTTTCGAAACAAGGTTATCAACTAAGAAGAAAATCAAGGAAGCTCTAAAGGACAAAGATATCAGCATAATTGGGATCCGTGGCATGCCTGGAGTTGGCAAGACAACAATGGCAGAGGAAATAGTCAATGAAGTCAAAGATGAGAAATTATTTGAGGAGGTTGCATTTGCAGTTGTATCTAACGATCCAGACATAAACAAAATTCAGGACCAACTTGCGGAAACGCTTGGTCTAAAAATTGAAGAAAAGACAAAAGAAGTGAGAGCCGGACGACTTCATCAAAGACTTGAAGTCAAAGATGGTAAAAGCATTCTTGTAGTATTAGACGATGTGTGGGAATATATTGATTTGGGAACTATAGGAATTCCATCTCCATACGATCACAAAGGGTTGAAAATTATGTTTACAACGCGAATTGGAGAAATGTGTAGTGAAATGGAAGCCCAAAGGAAATTCGAAATCGAAGTTTTGGATAAAGAGGAAGGATGGCAACTTTTCAAGGATAAGGCAGGGATTTCTGATGATGAAATTGATGTCGAACTCGTAAGAGTAGCCAGAGAAGTTGCTGATGAATGTGGATGTCTACCTCTTGCGCTTGTGGTTGTTGGGAAAGCACTGAAAAACAAGGACATACATAAATTGAGAGATGTACTTCAACAGCTGCAGAAGTCTAATGTGACCAATCTTGAAGGGCACAAATCCATGTACTCAAGAATAGAATTGAGCTACGAACAGTTGGAAAGTGATGAAGACCGGGACTTGCTTATGCTCTGTTCTCTATTCGCTCAAGATGAAAGCATTCCAATTGAAAATTTGGTTACATATGCAAGGGGGCTAGAGTTGTTTCGAAATACTGACACACTGAAGGAAACTAGAGATCGAGCATATTCAATTGTCCTTAATCTAAAAAGCTGTTATTTATTGCAACAGGGTGAGGAGGAAGACGAGGTGAAATTGCATGATGTTATCAGAGATTTTTGCTTACGGAAGGCACGTGAAGACAAACGTGGATATCTGGTGAAACATGCTGGTTTGATAGAGTGGCCAGAAGATGATGCTCATGAATCGTACATTGCCATCTCA